TCAAGACCAAACTTAGGTGAGAGAAATTCTTAGAAGGAAGTGCGTTTCCTCCCCCTCCCGCTGCTTTGAGGCAGAAGAGGCCTTTTTCTGAACAGGAGAGGGGATTAAAAAAAGTATAAATCAGAGAACAGTTTTGCATAGTAAATGTAACAAAACTAAACAGTTTCATCCTGCACACACACACACAAAGCAAAGAAGTTATAGCAAACTAATGTGCACTAAATATTTGAACAAAGTTACCATGCCATTATACCCTACAGTTGTGCCAGGAGTCAACAAATCAACTAATCCACTAATTTGGCAATTTCACCAAATTGCCGAAACTTTTCTCCTCTACCACCTGGCTCAGGCTGAAAGGGAGATCTTTTTTAGGCTTATGTAGATATAAAATCCTGTCTCTTGAAATGATAAAATCTTTTCCCCACTGCCACATTTATTATGATCAAGCTTGACAAAGAGGGAAGAGACAAATGGGAAAACAAAAGCCTTTATTACGCCACTCCTTAATATTCCTAAATGCTTGCAATAGCTTGCTCAATTCTGGTAACTTATTTTTATACGCTACTCTGAACGACACTGAAAATGAGAAAAGCTACAAAAAAAACAAACAACAAACCAAATTAAGGTTTTTACTATTCTTTGAGGGTAGTATGAGCCAAGGGAGAACTGGCACCACCCAAGAAAGCAGGTCTCCTCTCCAAGGCAATTTCAAATTGCTCTTTTTAAAAGTACTTAGTGTTGCCAGCAGGTTGAGGGAAGGGATCCTGCCCCTCTACTCAGCTCTGGTGAGGCCTCACCTGGAGTAGTGGGTGCAGTTCTGGGCTCCGAAAGACAAGAGGGACGTGGAGCTGCTAGAGAGGGTCCAGCATAGAGCCACAGATATGATTAAGGGACTGGAGCATCTATCTTATGAGGAAAGACTAAGCGAGCTGGGCCTGTTTAGTCTGGAGAAGAGAAGGCTGAGAGGAGATTTGATCAACATGTTCAAGTACCTGAGGGGTGATTGTAGGGAGGATAGGGCCAGGCTCTTCTGCGTGGTGGCTGATGACAGGACGAGGGGTAATGGGTGTAAGTCGAAACACAGGCAGTTCCATCTCCATGTGAGGAAGAACTTCTTTACTGTGAGGGTGACAGAGCCCTGGAACAGGCTGCCCAGAGAGGTTGTGGAGTCTCCTTCTCTGGAGATCTTGCAAACCCGCCTGGATGCCACCCTGTGCCACACGCTCTGGGTGCCCTGCTGGAGTAGTGGGGTTAGACTAGATGATCTCTAGAGGTCCCTTCCAGGCTCAACCACTCTGTGATTCTGTGTTATTTTAAGGCCAGTTTTGGTATTAGGACTGGAGGGAGAACGTAGACTTTATAGACAAACCTCAGTAAGACCTGATGGGTTAATGATGCTCTGTGCACTCCATAGGTCAAACTTTGAACATCTAAATCTCGGTTAATCAAGAGCAATCACCTGAAAGTCAAAGATGCCCTTAAGTCAGATAGCTCTGTGAGACCAGGACTTACGGAGCACACACAAACCCTAAACTCCACAGCACCAGACCTGCAGAGATTAGGAATTTTAAGCAGGATGACCATCGCTAAATAAGGAGGACAGTTGAGAGGGTTTTAACTGTACTCAGGACTCACGGCCTGAGGGCAGCATTCAGAGGTTGCTAGAAGATCACCCTCCCAACTACCCGGGCATTCTTGGTGTCTCCTTGCACCCGCAGATTACAGGCTACTTGGAGGGCAATTGCAGTCGGGCACTGGGAGCCTGCTCAGGGCCAAGTCTCATTACAGGCAGGGCTGGTAGTGCCACCTCTTATTAAGGCTGGCTAACGCCTCCCCTTACGAACCCTGTTTCAGTTGTTTGCAATTCTGAGAAACGACCCAAGCTGGCACATTTTCATGCTATCTTACATTTGATATGGGGGTTGTTCCTTTTTTTATTTTGGTTTATTTTAGCCCTATCAACTCAACCAGAGAAAGAAGTGGGAGAAACATTTTGCCTTGTTTATGATTAAAATACCAGAAGAGCAATAAAAAAAACTCTGAAAAGTCCAACACATCCACAGAGAAAATACTTCATGTTTAACAAAGTTATCTTAATTTCTGGTACCTATATTTTTAGCAACCCTACTAAAGAGTCATCAATAATCCAACTAAAGTTGAAACAAAAATTTCAAAAACTACAATGCTCACATCTTAAGATCTTTACTAAATTTGCTAACAAAGTCAAAAAACAGTAAAGCAGGAGGGAAAAATAATATGTAAAAGTTGATGCAAAGGGAAAATGAATTTTTTCTTTGTATTTATCACAGAAAGAACAGACATATTAAATATCACAGAAAACTTTGTAGCACGCAAAGTAAAAGACTCGTACTCTCAAGGCAGGTGGTAGTGCTGGGATCCCAAATGTTCTTTATGACAAGTTACTCAAGACCTTTGTCAAGAATGGTTTGGGTGCAGCTGATGCTAGTAGGAAATGGGTATGCCATTTGAGTCCCTTTTTCTATGATTTCATGCTCCAGTCCAGGGCTGATAAGGCACAGCTTCACAGAAGATGTAGACTGCACCAGATCCTGGTGCTGGAATCAACAATAGCCGGAAGATGATCGAACTGGTGTAGCTTCCACCATCCCCTTTGCAGGGAAAAATAACACGGAGTCACAGGTACCCACCTCAAATCCAAAGAGAACAAGAAACGGATCTGAATGGGTAAGTGGAAGAAAAATAAATTGGGACAAGGAGCCTAAGAGTCCAGATGCCAGACTTGGAGACTGGGGAAGAGAGTTTTTAAAAAAAAAAAAAAGAAAAAAGAAAAGAAAAGAAAGAAAGAAAAAAGACAATATTAGACAACTTGTCTGCAATAGAAGCAGGAAATGCAAATCAAATAAGAAGTGGGTGGGAAAGTTAAAAAAGAATATGTCGAGACTGAAGTGAGGAGAGGGAGGAGGAGGAGATGTAGAAAAAGAATCAGCAAACCTAACAATCTGCTGAGAGAGAACTGGAACTGGGAAGGCAAAGTAGTAGTAGTGCGCCAAAAAAGGATGGCATGCTAACTGGAGAGGAAAGCAGGCAGCAGCTGTAAGGACACGAGCTTGGCTAGGATGGGCTGGACATCATGAGAAGAGAATGAAGAGATAGACAGGGGAAGGTGCCCTGCACCTTGTCCAGCCGTGTGCACTGAGCAGAAAAGGCAGAAGTCTGGAAGAGCAAGGCTGGTGCTTGGGGAGCAAAGAAGATGGGATATCCCTGCCCGGCTCCAGGAGCACTGGAAGAGTCGTGATGGACAGCAGAGGTGACACAAAGATGGAAGAGAAGGAAAAAAAGTGCCTGCTAGTGCACAATTCCAAAGACCAAAACAAAACCTAATATTGTGCAAACTCACCGTTCTTCTGTCATCAGCAAAAACAACTAACTGGCAAACACATCATGACGGTCTGCACAGCACACAATGGCTAACCATGGGATTAGAGACTATCATAAAGAGACATCAAAATAAGGAGAGCAAATGAAGGTTTCCTCCACAGCTTCAGTTCCGACATGTCCACATTTCAAGGACTTTGCCCATTTACAATCTTGATACTCTCAATTCAGCTTGCGAGCAATATTGATCTCTTGGCCTTGCAAAACTGTCCATTGACATAATTGAACAGGTATGTTAAACAAAGCACATTATTGAAAGTGAACAGGCTCAGCATTTGTTCCATTTGCTCCCATATCTGTAAAGTGCACTCTTTTTTTCCCCAAAAGCTTTCAACTGAGCATTAATCATTTCAGCTTCTATGAACCCTACAAAAAACAGCCTATACATGTCCAACCTTTGCTGGTCATAAGGTGACAACCTCTAGCAACCTAGCAAAAACAATGACTATTCTGCCTGATCCAGAGGATCATAAATGACTCTACAGCAACAGAAAAAAAAATTACTTTGAGTAGGAAAATAAGACTTGTTTATTTAGATCCCAGGGAGCAGGTCATATAGGAAGAGTACCGAACTAAACCCTTTTAAATAATATTTGGGACTAAATTGTGTCAAATTTATTACTTCTACCCTAGCACTTAGACCTTTGAGGTCTTCAGTTAATGCTGTGACTTTGCAGTTAGGAGCCAATTACTACAGGTTAAGGGACCCGTTCTGTAAAGGAGCAGGTATCTGTATACATGTGCTGAAAACATATCCAGAATTGGAACATTAAGCACTTTCCCTGAAGAAGTTAATGAGACAAGAACCCAGGCAGGTCTAACAAATATCATGCTCTCTTCCCACCAGTATTAGACAGAATTTTATAGCAAAGACATGGTCAGTGCTCATTAAATATAATGGAGCCATCATGATTATCTTGCAGGAAAGGAAGTTACTGTTTTTCTCTATGGGCTGTTCTCCTCCTCTCCCTCCAACCTTAATATTGTTTGATAGCTCACCACAGCCATTTGCACCAATCCAGATGCTCTGCAAAATAATAGTTCTTAAAGTAGGAATAAAATAGTATTTCTGGTATTTAGATTAATATTTTTAAATGGTCATTACCACAGTGTGTGCTGTGGCAAACTTACGCATCCTCTTTTCTCAATTTCTGGGTACCAAGCTTAGTTACCAGACCAAGAAAAGTTAGGGATTAGTGAGATTATTTCTAGGACAGGATTTAAGGAAATGGCACTGCTGTATCAAATTCCCTTCTCTATTTTTACCCTGCCTATGAAACATTAAAAGCAGCTTCTGCCATCCCAAGGCTGCTACGCGAGGACCTATGGCCACCTGCTCCTACACCAGTGCATGTGACAGCACTCAGGAAAGGTGGTAAAAAGACTTGGGAGAAGGGAACAAGAAAAAAAGGAAAAAAATTGAAACAAAAAATAAATCACAAAACATTCACTGGTTTCTAGTAGGCCCCACTGATTTTTAAGCCCTTAAGAACAAGCTCTTCTCAAACAGTGGTTAAATCTCTAAGCATCACAGCAGTTACAGAAACAGCCCATGGAGCCACATCAAACAAGCATCTCCTTACATTAGGCAAAATGAGCTGGAGATCCATCCTTCAATATCCGGGGGGGATTCTTGCGGAAAAGTGACTGGCCGGGGATCCTCTCACACAAACCTCTGCTGCTGACTGCAGCGTTAAAACGTGCTCCTGTGACAAGCGGCGGAAGGGAAGCAAAAGCCAGGCAGCACGCACGGGCACCGGGTCGGGCAGCAGGCAGCCAAGAGCCGCCTTCGGAACGGCAGAGAAAGGCGTGAGCACAGGGTCTAGGACGGAGAAGAGAATAACCCCTTCCAGGGGGCTCATGCAAGTTTGCAAGGGAAACATCAAACCACGGAGCAAACAGCACCTGAGGTCCAAAAGGAAATGGAGACACCGCCACCAAAGCAAGGCAAGGGGACAGCGCAACACCGGCGGCCCCCGAGGGAGGGTATGGAGTAAAAGCGGGATGCCTCTCTCAGCATAGGAAAAGCTGCCTTTTTAATTTTAATATTTTTTTTTTGGGGGGGGGAGGAGACTGACTCTCCCCCTCTTTTTGTTTGTAAGGCTGGGGAGGGTTTGACGCTGCAGCATTCAGGTGGGCTGAAGGGGACCGTACCCCGCAGCAGACACACGGGGACGGGAAGGGGGAGGCTGTCCTGGGACGTGGTCTTCCCCGCAGCCCGCCCAGACAAAGGAGGACGGCGCCTGGAGCAGGAGGCGCTGCACAGTTTTAGCTAGCGCAAGGTGGCCGTGGCGTCGGGGCTCCCCACCTCCTGCCCCACCAAATACAGCCCTCCCCCGTGCACCATCCCAACGTGGGGTGCAGACAAAGATCCCATTTATCCCGTTGTTACCGTACTGGTAGGTAGAGAAATGACAGGGAGAGAAAATGAGGCAGAGGAAAGAAAAGGAGACAGAGAGGCCTTTAATGAGTCAGCCGCTGCTCTGATTTAAATAAGATCTCCATTTAAGGAGCTCTGCATTTGTTTTAAAAAAAAAAAAAATCATTGAGTGAGCGAGCAACTCTTGGCTGTACAAGGTTGTCTCGCAGCTCGACACAGGGGCTGGCAGGGAAAGGGTTATGGAAGGGGGAAGGGAAAGGGAGGAAAGCCTCTGGAAAAAATGAGGCTGCTTGCTGGTTCACTTTAACGAGGACATAAATTAGTCTCAAAGCCACAAACGCCATCACCTCCCCGAGCCCTGGGCAGCGCGTAGCGAGTCGAGCACGTGCCAAGACAAACGGCGCTGGCTGGAGCGGCCGAGGGGGGACCAAGGGGGCTCGGGGCGAGCAGGGCGGCACGGGCGCCTCGCACGGTGCCACAAAATGGAGCCCGGCGATCCCAGCCCGCACAAAGGGGGCCCTTCAACAGCCCCCGCCAGCACCCAGGG